GCAGTTTTCTCTATTGTTTCCCTTACAGTGAGGACTAGCACCGAAAGGATACTCTATTGTCCAAATGTGGTGTTGTGTGTGGACGTGGGAGGCAAAGGGTGGGTGTTCGAGAGTTTTTGACGTACTGTACACAACAATTTGGTTACACTTTGGTTAGGTCTACGAGATTAAAGTTTATCAAACTACACAAGAAAAAAATGTGTTGTGAGATGTAAAAAGTTTTAAGTTATGCCTTTTTACAAGGTGAAAGTGATCCATGCACTCAAGGTAAGAGCAAAGTTTTGCCTCTACTTTTACTGAGGTGCACGTTACATGATAAAAAATTTTGATGCAATGGTTATATGTAAGTGAGTAGGTTATCAGATTATATTCATCATGTTTACCTGTAATCCAAGGTGGCAAAAGATAGATCAACATTTTTTACATCCAAAAGATCTTCTTAATATCATTACTCATGTATTCAAGATAAAGCTTGGATAGCAATGGAATGCATAAAAAATTAAATAAATAAAAACATATGGAATTTTAGGTCCTAAATTGATATTTTTTCGGTCATACGGGTCATATACCGGCACATTTCATCTTTCATGTTTCAAATTCATACTTTATCTAACTTTTAGATCATGAATTAATAAAACTCCATAATCTTTTTATAGGGGCGAACTACATTTACTTCGTAGCATCAAATTGTTTAACAATTCCACAATGTCTTACATGTTTCATAACAAACACTCTTACACATTTGTTTTGAAAATATCACACCGTGCATCGCACGGGTGCTTCTCTGCTATTACTAGGAGGGAGAACTACCCACTCGCGTTTTTCAATTCCAATTAGTTTGAATGATGATTCAACTTGCAATATAGGACAAGGTAGTCCGCTCACCATACTTATTACTAAGTGTAAATTGATAATTTGGGATGAAGCTCCGATGCTTCACAAATTTTGTATTGAGGCATTGGATAGAAGTATGACTGGGTGAACTTGCCAACCCAAACTGGGATACTTATTACTAAGTTTACTTTTTAGATTCACCAACCCAGACAGTATGAACTTGCCCTTTGGTGGTAAGACAATTGTTTTGGGAGGAGACTTTCACCAAGTGCTATGATTAATTCATCGTATGTATGGGGGGATGCATTGTTCTTAGTTTAACCAAGAATATGAGGCGACAAGATGTCAATAGCCCCACAAAATCTTATGACTTGAAGTTGTTTGCTAATTAGATTGCAAGCATAGGTAATGGTATTGTTGGCGACTTAAATGACGGTTGTGTCTTTGTAAAAAAATCTTGATGACATCCTAATCAAGTACTATGGATATCGAATTGCTAAGATAATGGAGATCATCTAAAATCAAGTAATGATTTGAGTTACTTGAGAGATCTAGACAGAGCTATTCTTTCTCGAATTCTTGATGTCGTTGATTCTGTCAACGACTATATGACAACTTTGAATTCCGAGGAAGTAGCTAGAACCTACCTTTGTTCAGACAGTATTTGCCAATCCGATTTCACCCATGATTAAGCTCTCTGGACTGCCAAATCAAAGGTTAACTTTGAAAGTTGGCACCCCTATCATGCTTCTGCTTCTGCGTAATATTGATCACACTCGGTTTGTGTGACGGGACAAGACTCATCGTAACAAAGATGTGTGATCACATCTTAGAGGGTAGAGTTCTGAATTATATGAGTGTAGGACATAAAGTTTTAATACCGGGACTATCTTTGACAAAGTATGGTGTTTGTTTGCCATTTAGATTCCAAAGGAGACAATTCCCTGCTATGATTTCTTATGCAATGACCATCAATAAAAGTCAAGGTCACTCACTCACGTTGATCTCCCACTGAAAAGACAAGTTTTGAGCCATGGAACAATGATTGTCCAAAGGATGAAACGATAAGTGTTGTCTACGAAGTAGTGTTCCATAATACTTCGTATGTAATGTTTCACATCGCATGATAATCACATTACATATTACAACAAATTAAACTTACATATTATCCTTTTAGTTCTTAATGAAACAATGTATCATATTTAACTTTATAACTAGATAAATTTATATGTCAACGATGTTTATACCCCATCTAAGATTTCACACACCGTGCATCGCACGGGTACATACTTGTATTACTAAAAGTAGGATAAAAGATAAAAAAGTGATCTGTTTTTAAAAATTCCAAAAATGTGACCCACATCACAATTAACCATGCAGTGTAAAGTGACTCCGGGCAAAGTGACTCCGGGCAAAGTGACTCCGGCCAAAGTCACCCCACCGACTACAGTGAATGCCCGGCCGCCGGAGTGACTTCCCCGCCGCCACAGTGGCTCCGCCACCCGCCGCCACAAGGACTCCGCCACCCGCCGCCACAGTGATTTTGCCGTCCGCCGCCACAGTGACTCCGGACACAGTGACTCTGGTCACAGTGACTCCGGTCGTAGTGACTCAGGCCGCAGTGACTCCGGCAATATTGACCACCCGGCTACCGCCATAGTGACACCGGCAAATTACCTCCGCCTGCCATCGGCTCCGGCAGCCACCAACTCCGGCCAACGACTGCAACCATCACACCCAAGCCACTGCCTCACCTAGCCCCCTCCCCTGCATCACCCCAGCCCCTCCCCTGTCACCCCAACCCCTGCCCTCACCCAGCCCACTCCCCTGCCCCACCCAGCCCCCTGCCACACTTAGCCGCCTTTCCACAACCCCCAGCCCCAGCGGACAGCCTCATAGACACTTCTCTAGCAGGCCAGCCCACCCCTATAGCCGCCCACCGCCCAGATCTGAAATTACAAAGCGTCGGCCAAGCAGAGGCGGCGAAGCAGCGAAGGAAGAGGCGGTCCGGCTGTTCAGGCCCCTCTCTGACACTTTTTGTATTAGTGTTTTTTTCCTTTTTCCTTCTGGGTAATATGGTATTTGTTGATGAAAAACAACGTAAGAATATAATATACATATAAGTTTTGAAGTAATTCCTATTATATAAATAAAATTGATTAAGTATGATGGACAAAAAATGATTTTATAACTTGTTATGTGGCTACTCTTCCAGCTCAGGTCTCAATTTCATCCACAAAGGATGTCTATTCCACCACTAGGTCAACAAAGGAAGAGGTAGGTGTACCTGTAATTACGGAGAAAAATCTGTAGCAGATCTTGATATTCAACTCCGTTGGTTTGAGGAAAAGATTTGTTGTTTGAAAATGTAGATGGACAGTCTTAGCGTATCTATTACAGTAAATGTTGTTTGACTGTCTGCAATAAGAATACAGTTAAGGGGTTACATACTAGTAATATTATTTTAGATAATACATGTGTTTTCTTGACATACAAAGTATTAATTTTGTTGTTATTACTATATTTTTTTTTATTCCATATTTAAAACTACTCAAATTCGTACATTTCACTCAGACATACCGTTTTACTCTTATTTGGGGTAAATTTTTAAATGTGTTACTCAATATGTTTTATTCTCCTACTTTTGAAATACTGAAATGAGAAGAGTTACTTATTTATTCTCCTACATAATACATACTATATCTTATTTGATTGAAAATAAAGCACGCAAGTGGTAATTTAACATCCTATTACAATCATTACTACGAGTACATGATACGAAGTTTTATTGAGACTTTTGTTGTTAAAGTACTTTACGGGAATTTACAATTTTAGTTTTGTGATATTAGGGTGCGCCCACTATTAGTCTTCTACCTTTATTTATTTGCAGATTTGGTATTGTAACTAATAAATCATCACAATTTAAGGGTCTTTTCACCGGTAAAAACATTTTCCAACATGTGCAGTTTAATAAATCTCTCCAGTAAATATTGGTTGCAATTTTAATTTTAAATGACCATGGGATGTAAAATCACTTCTCTTGAAAATTTCTCGGATTTAATGCTATCCATCACACAAAAAATTAAGTTATAGAGATTACTATCATTTACTTAGGAAATTTTAAAGTGGGGTGTTATTTTCAGCCGAGCAACAATATAATTAACAATGGCAATTTTTCTCCTCTAACATTGGCAATTTTTCTCCTCTCACAAATAAAGTAATTAACATGTATTAATATAATTTTGTTTTCATTGCACAATGTTCAATCTGACAATTAATTAGTTCTACATATATATATTTATTCCACGTACAAGTTCAAAATTGCGAATTTTTGAGACAACGAGAGTAGAATTAAACGCATTTTTGACATACACGAATAAGAGCATCTCCAATGGTATAATGTGCACGGTGCACACGTGGCATGAGAAATAGTCACATAAATATTGGTAAATAAATTCTTTCTCTCCTTATTTTAATGATTTTATACATATTTAGTAAGTTTTTCTCCACAATGTCAATGAGACCGTCTAAATGTTGACATTGCAGTTGACATTGCAGGAAAAAACTTACCAAAATTGTATAAAATCATTCAAATAAGGAGAGAGATAATTTATTTGCTAATATTTATGTGGCTATCACTCATGCCACATGTGCACCGTGCACATTTTGGCATTGAAAATGCTCTAAGTTGTATGTGTAGACGGTTGAAGTGTACCTTAACTTCTGACAATTTTTTTACATAATTGAAGTCGTAAGCTCAAATTACTTCTAATGCTCTATGTTCATGTAATACAGTAGTACCGTCTAGTAGATGTATTATGTGTTTGGTAGTCATTTTTATATTTATTATATACTTATTGTACATTAAATCTTTGGTACTATGCATCAATTTGTAATTATGAAAAAATCCAAATTCAACCATAATAATATAACCATATCATAATACTAGACAAACAAAATCCTAATAGAACATCTGTTTATGCGTGTAGCGTCTTGGACCCTAAAAAAGTGAACCGCATACCCCATATATTACGTATACACATGCCCGACCTTCACCCCCTCAATAACTTTCAATCCTACCTTGGAGCTTCTATATACTGTCTTCCATGATTGGGGACCGAATTAAGAAGCTCTGATCTTTTAAACATATAGTTAATTACTACATAGGAGTGTTTAAGAATGGAGAATTACGAAACCTTGAGAGTGCTTCTTGTTGATGATGATTCTACCTGTCTGCTCATTGTTGGTGCTATGCTCCGGAGATTGAAGTTCAAGGTAGTTTCATTCATATAAATTGAATCACACTTAGATGAGATTCATTCCAATTTTATGCTCAAACTCTCAAGCCCTAGGTTACAAAGAAAAATGAAGTTTTTTTTAAAGAATGAAAAACAAAGTTAAATCTTTCACCATGAATCAAAAGGGGAGAAAATCAAGTGTTTCTAAATTTGTCTCTTTTAATTTCTTGTCGGTTAAATCTTTACTATATATGGTTAATTGAATGTTTTTATTTTTGCAAAATTTTAAATAATGTAAAAACACCGGATGTTTGAAGTGTATTTCTTATTTACCATCTGATTTGATCTTCTATTCCCACATTATAAATTACATATACACAGTGCCGAGTGTTTGGGAAATGGCGTTGCACCAAAACAATAACAGTCTAACCCTTTGTATCATTTTCAATAAGTGAAAATGTTTTTGATAAAATGATTGTTAAGTCCCATCATTTTTTGGATGGAACTGCTGAAATAGGGACTACGTACGAATCGCTACGGCCAAACACTAAATTATTAAACATCGTTTTGATCATGACAACTTATTTCGCTAGTCAAACCCGCTGACTCAATCCACTATTAACACCCTGATACATAATCCGCTAGTGGAAGCGGTCCAGACCAGCTGGTCGCCGACTCACTCTCCCTTATGGGAGGTTCCGAGTTCAATATTCAATGGAATGAGATTGATCCCTGTTTACACAGGCCCCCCTCCCCCGACGCCCCCAGGGGTAAAAAAACATAATCCGCAATCCGCTAAATGTCAACCACACCCTTTAAAAATTTAGTTTTACTTGTTTCAATTAATTTTTAACACGTTTTTTTAATTACTTCCCACTCGTTTTTCTGTTTTAATAATAATTGTATGAAAAAACAACCAGATTTTTAAAATTCCTATCTTTTTCTTGATTTTTCCGTGTTGATGTCCTACTTTTCATATAGTATTCAATAAACCTATAATTTATTTTGCTGTGTGAAAAGCCTAATGCAGCAAGTTAAAATAAACAGAGTGAAAGTTTTTGAAGAACATTCATTGGAGATCAGATTGCTTTAGGACTTGACCCTTTATAATTTGTTAGTTCTTCCCAGTAATGTTTCATTGTGTGGTAGCAATTTTTATTGTTTAGGCCTTCAAAATTGTTATCTCTTTTATCCTTTATTAATTGGAATACCTAAATGGCTAAATCCAACATACAATTACTAATCCATCTTTCTCCAAATAAATCTATCAACTAAATGAAGTGGATCCTGATGACTTAGCTTATACATAGATAATGTATTAAGCCCATGGATAATGTATACATTAATGAGAAATTCACAATACGTAGTGGTTATTATTAAAATTTAAAATTCCATCTTAAGGTGGGGATCAATTTGACAGAAGTTACACAACTTAATATGCTCTTACAAATATTGTTGCTTCTTGGATAAGATCAATTCTATAGTTCATGTGTTCATCATTGAGGCATAACTATATCAAGATGTTATTGCTAACTCACTCTAAGATATGATGGTCCATCTTTGAAAGGTGAGATGAGCAATCAAAAACATTTATATGTTAATTTGTACCTTTACAGCTTTATACGTGATTGAGATGAGATAGCTTAGTACTTGCCACCGACCCATAAAAGATGAATTTGTAACTCCTTTTATGATTTCATTAGAACTAAATATGTTTAATGCGAGTGTAATATGCGCATGGTGTTCTCAATAGACTTGTGAATCGTCCAATTTATTCCCAATGATTATACACAGACGACTCTTTTCATAATGTAATGGCTAAAGGGTCAAATAGGCCCTCGAACTAACAAGTGCAAATTAAATCACCCCTTATATAGGAGGCTCTGTAAGGCCGTCGTCATTTGGGGCGGTTCCAAGTGTAATTTTTTGATGAATTTTTTAAAGCATATTCTTCATTAAGTCTGTTTACTCATACCAAATGTTAGCTAAAACGTCAATCGAGAAGGCAGCCAAAAGAATTTTTGAAGATAACTGTGCAGTTAAACAACGCAGTACATTTCAGAAAATCATTTGACTGCCATCCCGGTTGAATTGTTATCTGAAATTTGGTATGGGTAGACTAGACTTAATGAAGAAGATGCTAAAAAAAATTCATCACAACATTCCACCGGGAACCGCCCCAAATGGCGACGGCCGGACAGAGCCTCTTATATAAGGGGTGATTTAATTTGCCCTTGTTAGTTCGAGGGCCTATTTGACCCTTTAGCCTAATGGAATTACATTTGCAATCATATCATATTTCAGACATTTTTATAATTGAGTTTTAAGTAATGAATTATGGTATTTTGTGATGCAGTTGTGACAGCAAAACGTATAGGACGATTTGGGTACCCTACGACCAAAGGGAAGCTTTGCATTTGATCTCATTATTTCAGATGTCCACATGCCTGATGTCAATGGCTTTGAACTGCAGCACATGATTGTCATAGCTTGTGAGATCATTATTCATTCATACACAAACATAACTAATACACAATTGAATTATATTAAAACAAGGTTAAAAATGGCAGTATGACGAATTGAATTTTAATATTAAAAAGTAATCAAAACAAGACTTATAAAAAAAAACAAGACTTATTGATTTTTTAGTAGATGATTCATAATTCTAAGAATAATTTATAATGTTTATTGGAGTACACACATCAATACAATCTCGTTTCCATCTTACTTGTCAAACTTTCTCTCGATTGTTTTATAAAATTTGTTTTACTTCTTTTTATTTGGAATGATATGATCCGATCCTATTCGGTAAAGTCTATCTATGCATCAAATAAAACTCCACCTACCCGGCCAACGTTAAACTATACTTCCCGAAAACAACTTCTCACTTTCCTTAAATGGATGTCCCAAAATTAACTTCACACTTCAATACTTTCCTTATTTGGCAAATTATCTACATCAAAAAAGTGATAAACAGTGCCAAACAGTGCCAAACAATGTTTAAACAGTGCCAAACAGTGTTTAAACAGTGCCAAACAGTGTTTAAACAGTGCAAAATTATGCATTCTACAGTAAAGTCAAATTTATTTCTTAAAAGTGTGTGAAATTCCAACCGGGAAGTTGTTTTCGGGACGGAGGGAGTATATAATAACACATTGCATGGAAAATATATTTCACACATTTACAAACACATTGGTGTGTCATGTGCAGTCATTTTTTTTCGACAACTCATGTCCAGTCATTTAATACCGTTACTTTAGTTTTAATAGAGTTAATTCAGAAAGTATGAATAAACAATGTAAGTGTAAGAATATGAGATACAACTTTCGTAGGAATATAAAATGGGATAAGTTTTGGTAAAAAAAAAATAAAATGGGATAAGTTGGCTAGCTAGATTTCTTTATTGTACAATTCCCACCTCCTTGGAGACCCCACCACGCCCCTAACAGATCTTCAACTAATGATCAATGCCAAAAACTTATCGGACCTACAGTTGCTATCAGAGTAGGCGAACAATTTAATTTCATGTCAGTCAACAAACACTAACTCCCTCCATCCCGCTATGATTTTCCATTTTATCTTTTCGGTCCGTCCCACTAAGATTGTCTCATACCTTATTTGGTAAAGTTTGTGTGGTTCTAAATCATTCCTACTTTATTCTTACATTATTAATTCAACATCAACCACATAAATCCACTTTTATTAATAACCGTGCCACCTTCTCTTGTCCCAAACTTAGGGGACGGAGGTAGTAGCTATCAACAGTAGTCATTGGACACTCGTTTGAACTTCGGCTCTGCCGAAAGGCCACCATAAAACCCTAAGTGAGATTGGTAAATCAAGAGGTGAATCCTGATGCTAAATAAGAGGATATAGCTAAAACAATGAACGAATGAAATTTATTAAAATAAAGAAAAACGAGTACTTCAGAAAAAGAAAATTAAAGGTAACAAGTAAAAACAAAAGGAACAAAATAAAGAAACACCCAACCCAAAGCCTAACAACAAATACCTTAAATTTCTAGATAATCCAGAGCACTTGGTCAAACTTCAAAACTTTGTTTGTGCTTGAGATCTAGTCTTTCAATTCATAAGATGCTCCTTTTTTGACACTTTTAAAGTGCTTTATACGTATATAGGGCATCTGGATTTTTTAACATGGTGAGAAATATTAATCCATATATAGAACTATAAAACATCACTTTTCTTGAAATATGAGCATCAACTTTTCTTTGAAGGGTCAGGCCGGCCCATTCAATAAATATTGAAGAATTGTTACCAACTTTTATCATTCTCGATTCAATAAGTCGCATTATTTTAGCACAAACAGCAACAACACTCTTCTTGTAGTCTATCATTTACTGTTATTAGTTAAACTAAATTCATTTTCTTAGTATCCTTGTCACAAGACCCCCCCTCCCCCCCTCATGCATACTGAACCCTTATACTGTTATACATACATGTTTATGCAAATCACTCCTTATATTGGAGGTTCCGTCCAAACGTCTCCATTTGGGGCGGTTCCCAGTGTAATCTTTCGATGAATTTTTTTGATCATTTTCTTCATTACGTCTAGTTTAAGATTATCAAATTTCAGCTAAAAATTCAACCGGGAAGACAGTCAAATGAACTTTTGAAGATAACTGCGTAGTACATTTCAGAAAAACATTTGACTGTCTTCCCGGTTGAATTTTTATCTGAAATTTGGTATGAGTAAACTAGACTTAATGAAGAAGATTCTCAAAAACGTTCATAAAAAATATTCCACCGGGAACCGCCCCAAATTGAGACGGCCGGACAGAACCTCCTATATAAGGGGTGATTTGCACTTTTTAAGTTAGTTCGAGGGCCTATTTGACCTTTAGCATATATAATTCTTATACGTAGTACATTATGTAAGTATTTTTAATAAAGAACATGTTCATTAATTATCATATTCAAATAATTTTTTATTTGAAAAATATTAGTGGTTAAACTTGATAAATATTGCCAAAAATAAGCTAATAGGAAAAAGTTTTATCAATGGAGGTGGTATAATCTTAGCAAGTCTACATCAATTATGTATTTTTTATGTTTAACTAATGTACCCAAAAAAATCGTATGCGTTTGTGCCAGGATTAACCAGGGAGAATGTTGCAAGTCATATGCAGGTTCATTTTCAATTACTGATACATCATTATCCCTTATCATGATTATGATTAAAATTTACAACGTATAAAATAAAGGATCAAGTTGTATATGGAGTTGAGAGAGGGTTGACAAGGGTTGCACTATAACTAAGGTTAATAAAACTATTACAAAATTACAATTATAAACAAAAGAAGGTGTAATGGGTAATTTTTAAGTCTCAACCCTTCTCTAGTTTGTGGGTTTAAATGGTTAAGTTATCTGATAATTAAGTCCGGGCTCCTTGGTCTAACTAGTTCATGTGTTTTCTTAGGTTCATGTGTTAAGTATAATTTGTGTAGCATATGCAAAATGTTGTAATAGGTGTCAAAAATGTCACAGTAAATTAAATGTAGCATTTTTTAGTATATTGCATCCGACTGGTGTTACAATAGATGTATTGTAGATATATAGTTATCATTTTATTGTAGAATGTTTTGTACAATAATGTTACAATAGATATTATATTGTAGTAGTTTCTACGGTGCTACAAAATGAATGCTATAATAGACACTTTTTGTATTAGTGTGTATTTTTTCCTTCTGGGTAATATGGTATTTGTTGATGAAAAACTACGTAAGATATAATATAATATACATATAAGTTTTGAAGTAATTTCTATTATATAAATAAAATTGATTAAGTATGATGGACGAAAAATGATTTTATAACTCTTAAGTAACAATGACCATTTTTAGTTTACATAGATCAATGAGCATATATAAAAATATAATTATAGTAACTTTGATAACATCTTTTTTCATGAGTTTTATTTTAATAATATTATTGGAAAACCGTGGTAGTTTTTTATTCTTACGATTGCCTGTCCATCACTCATCATGATATTTTATATGATGAGACAAAAACACAGACATGATCTCCGCCACCCAAGGCTATTCTCAAATATGGGGCTGGCAATATCACTCGCACCCGCGGATATCCGGTCAACCCGAACCGAAAATATGGATGAAAACCCGAAAAAGTATGGAAGGAAAATGGATGACGGGTGGATTGAAACCCGACCCGTCACCCGCTCCACCCACCCACCCGCTAACCCGCATATAAAAATAAATACATATTATATTATATTATATTATATTATATTATATTATATTATATTATATTATATTATATTATATTATATTATATTATATTATATTATATTATATTATATTATATTATATTATATTATATTATATTATATTATATTATATTATATTATATTATATTATATTATATTATATTATATTATATTATATTATATTATATTATATTATATTATATTATATTATATTATATTATATTATATTATATTATATTATATTATATTATATTATATATACTCCCTCTGTCCCGCTATTAACTTCCTGCTTTCCTTTTTGGGCCGTCACAAAATCATCTTCTCATTTCCCTAAATGGAAAGTTATCCTACATCAAAACAGTGTCAAACAATGCAAAACAGTGCCAAACAGTGTCTAAACAGAGCCAAACAGTGTCTAAACTGTAAAGTCAAATTTATTTCCTAAATATGTGTGTAGGTCAAAGTAGGAAGTTAATAGCGGGACGGAGGGAGTATATTAATAATATATATAATAGTTAATATTAATATATTACAAAGTAACAAATATATACCCCCTTCGTCCCTTTTTATTTAGTCAAACATTATTTTTCAAGTCAAAGTTGTTCAACTTTGACTGATTATATATTTATACACGGTAATATTGACAATATGAAAATTAAATGAAAATGTTCTTTGTTAAAAACACTATCATAAAAGTATAAATTTATTAACGTTTACATAAATACATCAGTTAAAATAATGGATCAAACTTTATCATCTTTGACTGGAAATGTCAAAGTTGGCTAAATAAAAATGGGCGGAGGTAGTATTTGTTAATTAGAGAACACGTATCTATGAATTAGTGAAATAAGAACAATTGAATAGTTTCAAGACGTGGTAGTTGAACTGCAAAAGTAGTTTTGTTCCGATGCAGAAATGTAGAATTTGACAGTTTGAAAAAGTTTTATGTCTATTTTTTATGACAATCACTTCTTTCTTTATTGGCAGTGAATTAATGATTGTAATATACTTAATTGCTCAAGCTTTTCTTGTTATTATTCAATGAATTTTTAATTTTTGGTTTTTAAATATTATAATTTCGTATTTGCAAAAAAGTTATTATAATTTCTATTTATAATTTATTTATTTTGTCTTTCAAGTTAGACCATTTATATTCACCCGTTACTCACCCGATCCACCCGATAACCCGCTCATGATGGATGAATTGGATGTGGATGTATTTTTTAATGGATGATGGACGGGTGGGTGGAATATGAAAAATTAACGGGTGAACGTGGATGAGCCTCCACCCGGTATAAATTCGACCCGCTGCCATCCCTATTCTCAAATATGCATATTATTGATTAATGATTTCTAATGATTAAAATTACCTTCAACGTAACACATAGGTTCATCATTTTCCATAGTCCATATTATAAAAATAGATCGATATCCTTTAGGTCAACGTTTTTCAATTCCTTTGTAAGACTGTCACACGGTCATACGCACTTTCAAGGTTTGGTAATTCTCCATTCCTAAGTTTATTACTCACGTGTGTCAGCATATTGTTTTTACATAAGTGCCCTTGAACAGTTATTATCATGGTTCTAAAATTCGCTCTAAGCGCCCGATTATTCCCCGCCTAGGCGTTAGGCGGTAGTCGGGCTCCCCGATTTTAGTCCAGGCACTCCGACTAATTGATTTGGCGCCTAGGTAAATTAGTCGGTCGCCTAAGGCGCCTAGACATCTAGATTCATCGAACATTTTATTTTGCCTGGACAAGAGTGCTTAATCGGCCGCCTAATCGGGCATTTTATTTTGCCTGGCCTAGAGTGCTTAATCGGCCGCCTAGAAATCTAGATTCATCGAACATTTTATTTTTCCTTTTATTTTAGTATTCTAAGAGATATATGTATCTTTAACTGTAACAACGCATATGAAGAAAACTAGTAGTTGTAGATTAATATAAATGTTATACATGTTTTTATATATATTCTTAAGTGTTATTATTATTTATTAATAATTATTACGTAGTATTTCTTGCAGTTAAGAAGTAAGTATGTATAATATGTTATTTAGTGTGAAAACTCTTATCATTCATGCATGTTAGTGTGTGGATGTACGTGTTTATATTTTATGTACACATAAACACAACATTACTAATCATATTTATGCAAAATTTTATTAAAACTATAATTTCTATGTCTTCGATTAATCCCCGCCTAGGCGCCTAGGCGCTAGGCTGGCGCCTGACTAGCGACTAGCGCCTTTTAGAACATTGGTTATTATTATATGTATTTTCCTTTTAAATACTCCACTAATTGTCCATAATTAATAGGCTTCCATAATTACCATCCATAATTAGTAGATTTCATTCTTATTTCGCACGAGTTAATTTGAATAGGAGCTAAAAAAGATATATTAGGGAATAGGGATTACAAGTATAGAGAATTGCATGTCACTTTTATAGCCCTCGTTTATGATAATTATTAATGATCATAATAAAAGGTCTTAGTTCACGTTATGTTTTAGATGAACGTTCTCATTTGATATCAATCAAATATCTCTGAGCATGTAATAGCACAGAAAATCCGCAGCAGATCTTGATATTCAACTCCATTGAATGAGTTAAAAGATTTGGTTTACAGAAATGCAGATGGACGGTCTTAGCGTATCAATTACAATAAATGTTGTTTGACTGTCCGCAATAAGGATACAGTTAAAGAGTTACTACATCCGTCCCACAAAGGAAAGTAGGACAACCAAATAGGATGGAAGGAGTACATAGTAGTAATATATATTTCCAGATAATACATGAATTTTCTTTATGTACACAATACTAATTTTATAGTTATTAGTTTATTACTATAAATATTTTATTCCATATTAAAAACTACTCCGATTTCTACAATTTACTCATACCTTTGTACTCATACTTGAGCACATTTATTCATCTGACTTTAACTACTTTAACCATTTTATCCGTTACCAGTTACGCTTTTAACATTATAGAAAAACTCCTCGACTATCTTATTCAGTTCTACTTGATCAAGAAGAAATGTGCATAATAGCATATAGGGTAAAATGCATAAACTTAATGGTACCTTAATCACTGTTCTATTATTGCATTTTTGTATTTTAACTGTAAATTTCTTAAACAAATAAATCAATAATTATAAACAAAATGGGCTCCCTCGTTCATCTAAAACGTGAACAAGACATTTTATTATGATTATTAATAATTATCATAAACGAGGGCTATAAAAGTGACACACAATTCTCTATACTTATAATTACCAGGTGCTAGAAAAGATATATTAGGGAATAGGAATTATAAGTATAGACTACAGAGAATTGCATGTCACTTTTATAGCCGTCGTTTATGATAATTATTAATGATCATAATAAAAGGTCTTGTTCACGTTTTAGATGAACATTCTGATGTGATATCAACCAAATTTCTCTTTGCGTGTAATAACGTAGAAAAATCCGCCGCAGATCTTGATATTCAACTCCTTTGATTGAATGAAAAGATCTGGTTTACGGAAATGCAGATGGACGGTCTTAGTGTATCAATTACAATAAATGTTGTTTGACTGTCCGCAATAAGAATACAGTTGAAGAGTTACATAATAGTAATATATAATTTCCAGATAATACATGTATTTTCTTTATGTACAGAGTACTAATTTTAGGGTTATTAGTTTATTACTATAATTTTTTATTCCATATTAAAAACTACTCCGATCTCTACAATTCATTCATACCTTTCTACTCGTATTTGAGCACATTTATTCATCTGACTTCAACTACTTTAACCATTTTATTCGTTACCAATTACGCTTTTAGCATTATAGCTTAACGGTACCTTTATTGCATTTTGGTATCTTAACTCTAAATTTCTTAAAGAAATAAATCAATAATTATTAATATTAGTAATTATTTCAACCAACAATACTATATATTCAAATTTCCAATAAAAAAATCCTTGTGTATTGTCGATTGACAATGACTACTTATATTTTCTAATACTACGTATAAGTAACTCTATGCTATGGAAAACAAAACTCAACCATAGTAATATAATAATACTAGACAAGCAAAATCCTAGAACATCCGTTTAAGCATGTAACGTATTGGACCCTAAAAAAAAGTTAACAACAGATCCCATATATTGCGTACACATGCCTACCTTCACTACCTTAGAGCTTCTATATATAGTGACTTCCATGGCTGGGGAATGAATAGTTATTTACTACCGCTGAAGTAAATATATGTGAAATATAGGCCAGGAGTGGTTAATTAAGAATGGAGAATTACGAAACCTTGAAAGTGCTTCTTGTTGATGATGATCCTACCTGTCTGATTATTGTTAGTGCCGTGCTCAAGAAATTGAAGTTTCAAGGTAGTGTTAATTCATTCATTTGAAGCACAATTGGATTAAAATAATTTCAATTTATGCTTAAACTCCGCTCCCCAAAGGCTATGAAGTGGTTCAGGATGCGCCCTAGGTTTCAAAGAAAAACGAAGTTTTTTTGAAGAATGAAAACCGAAGTTAATGCTTTCACTATGCATAAAAAAAAGGAGAAAATCAACGACAAAGTGTTTCTAAACTTGTCTCTTAATTTCTTATCCGTTAAATCTTTGCTATATATGGAATTAAGTGAATGTTTTTATTTTTGCAAAAGTTGAAATAAATTAAACACTACGCACGGGATGTTTGAAGTGTATTTTTTATTTGTCGTCTTATCTTCAATTCCCACATTCATAATTACAGGTGTATAAAAGCATTATTAATTACAAATATTACAGACAAAAAAAATTCTTCACAAATATGAGTGTGTAGGTGTGTGTGAAAATGTGTACCAATAAATTTTTTTGTATATATAAAAACCCCAATGCAACAAGTAAAAATGAGTAATAGTTGTTCGAAGAAGTTTCATTCAATATTGCTCTAGGCCTTTATAATTTGTTAGTTCTTCTTGGTATTAAGTATTTCTCACACTCATAATATATAAAGTAATAAAGTGTTATACTACATATATTAATATCCTGGACTACTTCTCATTCTTTTGAATTTGACCTAGAACCCCAAGCTTTAACATGGTATCACAGTCAACCAATATAAGACCATGGTGGGGCCCTCTGATCTATAAAAATGACAATGATTACGAAAAGATAACAATGATGAACTAGTGAAAAATGAAATCAACCCCCATAACACCGAGAATGATTATATTTGTTAAATGGAAGTAATTTTTGGCCTTTACAATTTGTTACTTCTATACTTTATTAATTGGATTTAATCCAATATACTCACAATTTACTTATCCAACTTTTTGCAAATAAATCAATCAAATAAATGAAGCGGATCGTGACTTAGCTTATACGTAGTACACAGTTGTGGGCTAGTGATATTACCAAGCCCGTGCTTAATGTATACATTAATTTGAAATTTACAATACTTCCTACTATTAAAATTTAAAATTCTATCTAAAAGATCTACATGACAAAAGTCACACAACTTAATATGCTCTTAATTATAAGATTGTAGCTGGTTGGAAAAGACCAATTTATAGTTCATGTGCTCATCACGGACGCTAAATTATATCAAGATGCATGTAAATATGTAATTCGGTAATTGCTAATCACTCTAAGATATGATATGATGGTCCTTCTTTGAAACGTCAATCTAATATGATGAGTAATAAAAACCATTTATATGTTAATTTGTATGTTAATTTGTCAACATAGTTCATGTGCTCATCACGGACGTTATACATGATTGAGATGAGATAGCTTAGTACTTATCACCACTTCATAAAAGATGAATTTGTAAGTCCTTTCGATTTTTTTCATTAAAACGAAATATGTTTAGTGTTGGTGTAATGTGCGGGTGGTGTTTTGAATAGACTTGTGAATCGTCCAATTGATTCCTAGCGATTATGATCAAACGGATGACTTTATTTCACAATCTAATTACATTTGCAATTATATCGTATTTGGGAAATTAATTATAATTTACTTGTATTTATATATTTAGTGATGAATTATGGTATTTTGTAATGCAGTTGTGACAGCAGAAAACCCACATGATGCTTTGGGTGCCCTACGAGCAAGGGGCAACTTTGCATTTGATCTTGTTATTTTAGACGTCCACATGCCTGATATCAATGGTTTTGAATTGCAACTCATGATTGCCCATGAATTTCAGGCTCTTCCCATAGCTTGTGAGAGCATTATATTATTCATTATATTCATACATTAATACATACTATCATCCGTATCGTATTAGTTGCAACATTGCAAATTACACACTATTCATGTACTCTATTTTGACTATATTTTATTTATTAACGTATGTGAATTATTTTTTTGAAAAATATTGTTAAATTTGTCTCATTAAAAAGTTTCATAATCTCATTTTTAATTATTTTTTACTAATACATAATTAAATATAATGACAGTCAAAGTGGTGCATTGGCAAACGTGAAAAAGTGAATGTTGCAACTAAAAAAGAACGGAGGAAGTACATAATAAATATACCCAATTAAATGAAATTAATACATGGTTCATAACCAGGAGTATGACAAATTGAGCTTTAATATTGAAAAGTAATTAAAAAACTTTTGATTTATGAGTAAACGAGTCATAATTCTAAGAAAAATTAATAATGTTTCATTAAACTATGATAAACACACGACAAGTTTATATCTGTACGGAAAAGATCTTGTCCAGACAGAGGGACAGGATCCTCCGTCCGGCCGCCGCCATTTGGGGCGGTTCCCGGTGGCGGTTTTTGATGAAATTGTTATGGAATGTTCCTCATTAAGTTTAGTTTATCCACAAAAAATTTCAGCTAAAAATTCGACCGGGAAGGCAGTCAAATAATTTTTTGAAACATAATTGTGTTTTATATGTTTAATTTGGCGCAGTTATCTTCAAAAAATTATTTGACTGCCTTCCCGATCGAATTTTTAGCTGACATTTTTTTTGGATAAACTAGACTTGACGAAGAACATTTCATAAAAATTTAATCAAAAAACTCCACCGGGAACCGCCCCAAACGGCGGCGGCCGGACAGAAGATTCCGTCCCTCCAGCTGGACAGGATCATCCCTCTATATCTATATATCTATATTATTGACATAATCACTTTAAATGTAGATCTCAAGAAAATCATCTCCCATAATAGGTTCAGAACACCCTTCTTGGCAATATGTTCATTATTCATTCTAAAAAACATTTTCAATATTGGTATGAACTAAAATACTTCTATGCAAATATAAATTACAAAACTAATAAGAAAAAACAATTGGTGTACACAAAACTAATAAGTGCCCCAATTTCAGAATTCAATTAAAATCTTCAATTGTATAATCAATAAATCATTCTCTAAGATTTAATTCCATATATAATCTTCTTCAGTATTTTGTGCGATTTGAATTTCACACCTTGATAGTGGCCCGTAGCGGTCGCGGAGGGCACCGTGATCGCTATATAGCGGCCTTGATAGCCATAGCAACAGGCTATTTGAAACCCTGAGTAAAACTCTAAAAAACTAACTGGAAGCAGAGCCCAGAGAGGAAGGACGGCCGACGCAGCAGCCCCCGGCCTGGATGGCTGGACGCGCGTCGTAGACGGCGGAACACGGTGCGGCTGATGGCTTGGTGTTTGCTTTCTTCTTCGAAGGCTCTGATGCAGGGATGGATTTAGGGGGGGGCGCGGGGGGGGCGACCGCCCCCCTTGGATTTTCAAAATTTTTTACCATATATGTAATATTTTCATAGAACTTTCATAATTTAATTAGATTCGCCTCCCTTAGCTTTTAATTTTCAAAATTAATATATAGTCTTACATTATGTAATACTTAATTGGAGATTTGAAAGAAGTAACATCTAAAATAATTTACATAACTTAAACAAATAAACAATAGAATAACTCGTTGTTTAAGATTTGGGATACTTATTATATAAAAATTCCTAGTTTTGTAATGTTTAATTATCTTTATTAGATAACAAGTACTGGATTTTGTAAAAATATATATCAAATGATATTAAATACCAGACACACTAATTACACAGTATTTAGATCACGTGAAATGATCCAAAATATAAATGTTTATTGAAATTAAAGTACATAATTTGTTTACTTCTTGCTTTCTAAAAAATAATTTATTGCATAGATAATAAACTTTAAATCATTATAGCATTAATACAAATATTAAAATATAATATGTACCATATATATAATATGTGGTGCATATTATCTAAAAATAATAATCCCATAAATATTACTATTGTAATATTAAGAAAACTTCTCATGAGTCATGACTCACGAACACCCTCCTTGGTAGACAAAAATTACAATTCAATAACCGATTCATGAGGTTGAACAATGTAGAAGTTATTTAAAATGTATTGGTTGATGTCTTTGTCATTGTCTAAACTTAGAATGTAATAGATTTAAATATCGTTGGGAATGTTTATGTATTAATATCATTTTTTGAATTAAAATAGCCGCATAGCCCTACAACACCGAAAAAATTCGCCCCACTACACTATGGAAAAAAAATTCGCGCCGCTACATTAACGAAAATTTTTTCGCCATCTACACTAACGAAAAATTTCGCCCCCCTTGAGTCAATTTCCTGGATCCGTCCCTGCTCTGATGGCTCGCGTTCTGCCGGTTCGCTAGGAGCCTAGGAGCGCTGGTACGTTGTATATTCTGGCCTTGGGCTGTGGGCTGGGATGGGATTTAATTTTGAGACGGGTGAGAATAAATTTTGGGGTGAGTGATTATAAAACAAATTGGTTGGGCTGGAGTCCACCGCTCCCAATCTGCCATCATAGTCATCTTCCCATGATTGTTTAAAAAAATGTGAGTAATGACTATAATAGGAATGAAATAGTAATCACTACAAGAAAAGTGCACATGTACTACAATTTTTTTTGCGATGGCAGTATAAATGTCGTTAAAAACACCATTAACCACACATTTTTTTTATTTACCACACAAAAATGTGGTAAAAGCTTAGAGACGACAGTTTTTAACCGTGGTCAATGTTTTTACCACAGCTGTTGTGCCGACGCACGTAAAACTGTTGCAAAACTGTCGTGAAAACATAAGGAGGAGCATTCACGACAGTTTTGCGTCAATTTTACGTGCGTCGCCACAACAGCCGTGGTAAAAACATTGGCCATGGTTAAAAACTGTCGTCTCTGACCTTTTACCACAGTTTTGTATGTGGTAAATAAAAAAAATGTGTGGTTAATGGTGTTTTTAACGACAGTTATGCGGCCATCGCAAAAAAAAAATTGGTTTATGTGCAGTCTATGTGCACTTTTCTTGTAGTGAGTAACTCAGGTTCAAGTTTTAAACCTAAGTTACCATGACACTAGATTGTAGTAATTATTAGTCATATGTGTAAATAAATCTTAGTATAGTACTCCGTAATATTTTTACAAACTCATTGGTAATTAACCTCAAAACATTGATGCTAAATAAGTGGGTATAGATAATTAAGGAAGATTTTATGGTACCCTCAAGGTACACACTCTTGTCCACATGGTCCAATCAGAATGTTGTAATTGAATTATTTAAATATAAATTAAAAATGACTTATTAATTTGGGAAAAAATTGCACGCGTATCACTAATTGACTTCTGATTTCTAAATTTATGACTTTTCTCAATTTTCCCAAAAAACTGACCCGATGCTTGCCTCTTTCTTCATTCGACGCTGCCTTCCTTCTCTCTTCGTTCGACGTTTTAAGGCACGGCCAGAGCTGCCATGGATGCAAGACGCGAAGCTCCAACGCCCTTCGCCCCCAATCTCAGCAACTCTTCACCTCACAGATGAAATCCATGTTGCGGCGAACTCCAGTGATTGAGTGATGGCGGTGAGACTCCATTAACGGCGACTCCAACCTCAACAAAAACAACGAAATCGAATTAGTATGATATTAGATCCAGTTATTCTTCTCCTTCCTATGGTGTTTCTACGTCCTCTCTTGTTCAGATTTAGTGTGGTGACTATGTTTTAGATTTGCAATGAAGCTAGAACTGTAGATCTATAGTGGTGGCCGGTTGGGACGGAGGCGGTGCTAACACACCAATAACTACGACGTGGTTGCCTGGTGCCAGAGGGGTTGGGGCGTGGTGATGCTAGAGGGACTGGGGCGTGGTGGTGCTGGACTGGTAGGGGGTTGGGTGTCGCAGGGGAGGGGGTTGGGTGAGGCAGCGGCTGGGTGATGAAAGGAGGGGGCTGGGGTGACGCAGGGAAGGGGCTGTGGCGACGCGGGGCAGTGGCTGAGGGCTGGTGAGCATTTGCTGACCGGAGCAGTGGTGGTCGGTTGCAGTGGCCGGTGGTGGCACTCGTGGTGGTGTACAGTCGCGGAGGCGACGACAGTCATTAACAAGGGCCAGCGGCAGTCACTGACGATGTGGCGGCGACAATCACTAACGTTGGGGCGGCGACAGTCAGATCACTAACGAGGGAGCCGCGACAGTCACTCACGAGGGGCGGCTGCAGTGGTCTGGTGGGGCAGTCACTTTGGCTGGTGCGGCAATCACTGCGGCGGCGGAGTCACTTTGCGGCGGAGGAGTCACTATGACTGGAGTCATTGTGACCGGAGTCGCTGTGGCCGGAGTCACTGTGGCGGGGGGCAGTCACTGTGGCGGCAGGGCCCGGCGGGGCAGTCACTGTGTTCGGTGGGGTCACTTTGGCCGGAGTCACTTTGTCCGGAGTCACTTTACAGTTTACACTGCAGGGTTAATTGTGATGTTGGTCACATTTTTAGAATTTTAAAAAATAGATCACTTTTTTATCTTTTATCCTATTTTTAGTAATATTGGAATAAAAAGGCCTTAATTTGGACTAATTTAGTGAGAAAGTACTCCATTTTTAAATAGGTACCATAGTTGTCACCAAATAATAATCGTAAGTTCTATGTTAAGAATGGAAAACATTACTCCTATTTTGACACTTTTAGAGTGTTTTATTCTTATGTAGGGGATATGGGTTTTTTAACATGGTGGAAAATATGTTTCAACATTTAGAACTAAGAATCTATGGAGGAAGAAGCTCTCTCTAGGGTTATCGGCCGATAACCCTACGACTAGGACTGTCCGCCTTCATTTTTCGGAGTGCGAGCGTTATTGGTTAGGAAGGCGGTGAGGAGGCGGCATAGACGGTTGGTTAGGAGAACGGTGGTCTCAAATTGGTAGCAGGGGCGGTGAAGTTGGTTATTTAACCAGGTCATTCGGACGAAAGCAGGTGGTGTGGCTGGTTCATCGGACTCAGAGTTCCGGCGAAGTCTTCCATATCTTCATGGAGAACGTTGTTGATCGATATAAGTAGATGGCGATTGGAGGTGAAGAGGAAGAGATAAATCTTGACGATGGAGAGACTGAAGACATTCCAACGGAGGAAGCGGCGGTGGGCTTCCCGTGCTCGGGCAAGTGCTGACTGACCGCAAGGTCAGGTTCGCGGAGCTTAAAGAACAGATGCTTACTCTCTGGAGGCCGGGGAAAGGTATGTCGGTTAAGGAAATCGGGGAAAAGAGGTACCTGTTTTCTTTTAATCATCGTTTTGATATGAAACGTGTTCTGGATGGGGGTCCTTGGCAGTATGAACGTAGTTTGGTTTTTCTCAAAGAGATTATGCCTCATGATATACCACACCAAATCATTTTGAATGAGGCTGAATTTTGGATCCAGATTCATAATGTTCCTTACAGTCTGGTAAATCTAGGCACTGCTAGACGTATTGGGAATTTTTTAGGAGAGTTTGTAAAATATGATGATTATAAAAAAGAAAAAAGAAAAATTAGCACAATTAATGTCTAGCACTTCTAGACGTGTTGGGAATTTTTTAGGAGAGTTTTTTTCAGGCACAATTATCACAAACGTGCTGCACTTCGTTTTAGCTCAGAAAACTCTCCCCAGCCTTCTCTTAAAAATTCCTTCTGTATTCTTGCTTTGTTCACGTTCGTTGGAACTTTCGTTTGAGTGTTCAAACGCTTGTTCGTAGTCATCGTATCCTGGGAACGATTCTTGCAACGCTCCTAGCACCCCGGGAGGCAACAAATACGTTTTAAGGAAATCGTGCGTAACACGAGCTTTGGCTTATTCTGCTTCATCTCATTTCTTTGTTTCTTTAAGTCATTTTATTTAATTAATTTTTATTAGTTAATTTTCTTTGTTTTTCGAAACACACCCAACAGTTTCCACAAGAGCTTTTCATGCATGTGTACTCAACCCTTATACTGTTATACATATATGTATTTGCAATTGATTTTATTCTATGATGCCCGAGCGAATGCAGTGATGTCCATTGATAAACAAGAGGGCATTGTGAGGCAGGGAATGCGGAACGGAGCTATTTCGTTCATCGAAAAACCTGTGTCGGAGAATGCCCTGAAATGTTTATGGCAATTTCTTATAGCTCAAAAGAAGGGTTATGTTAGGTGTAGTGCTATGGAGCTGCATGTAGAAATGACTCCTACTCCATCTGCCGCTGCCACTTGCACCACAAATTTTGCAGCTTATCAGAAATCCGTGGAGCAGATGACCACCACGACAGAACCTTTTTTTGAAACCAAGATGGGGAAGAAGAAGCTGGTGTGGACGGATCTTCTTCATTTCAAGTTCTTGGATGCCATCGCCTCTGTAGGAGTTGAGAGTAAGTCATTTGACCAAAACATTGACAAAGTTTTAACAAGTATGTTCAATTCATAAAATAAGACTTATTTAATCCTATTAAAAGAATGAAAGAATAAAATATTGCTAAATAGAAGTTTATATTTTGTTAAGAAGACAATGTAACTCGTACTTGAGAATTTTTTTTATTTTAATTATTCGAAAAAATCCATTTAATATTACTCTTGAAAATGTGGAGGACAAAAATATTATTCAGTAACTATATATTAATGACTATAATTGTGCTAAAATTTACATCATAGTAATTACATAAGTTACAATGATGTAAATTTCAACACTGCACAATTATGGTCACTAATTGTCATCAAGTAATACTTTTGTTCATGACTTTCTTATGAGTAATATTTTTGTTCATGACATTTTTTAATGTTCCATAACTTGGCTATATATTTTTATTTGCACATAAAATAATAAAATAACTAGTATAATAGTAAGAGTTAATTACTTAAGTAGGAGTATATAATAGTCACAAAAATAGGTGTGTTTTTTGGGTAATAGTCTTACTATTGTGAACATCTCAATTGTGACTTATGAGTAAATACTATTTCTCTTTGCGTTGAGTAAAGAGATAACATTATTCACAAAAAAATTCATTAGAAAGTTGCCGAAGTTTAAAAAACAGACTAAATAAAAAGTTGGCAAAATATATTGGGATGAAGTGCTAAATTTTTGCCAATTTTTAATTTTTGGTACGTTATGAAAGTATTATTAATAAAGAACATGTTCATTTAATTTAATTATCATGTTAAAGTAATTGTGTATTTGAAAAATATGAGTGGTTAAACTTGATCATAATTGACAAAAATAAGCTAACAGGAAGAAGTGTTATGAAATGGAGATAGTATAATATTGGCAAGTCTGTACAAATTATTTATTTCTTTTAGTCTAACTAATGTACATAAAACAATATTTTCTTACGCTTTTGTGCAGATGCGGTACCCAATAATATTTTGAAGGCCATGAATGAGCCGGGATTAACTAGGGAGAATGTTGCAAGTCATTTGCAGGTTGATTTCCAATTACTTATGATTATTAACCAGGCTGTTCATGAGCAATAATACTTCGTAATGTTTTACTTTGTATTGAGTCTTGGCTTAATGAGTTTCTTAATGCTTATTAAAGTTTTAAACATATGAGGTACGAAATACTAAATTTTTATAGAAGAAATACGTTTATATGCATATTTATAAAACTTCGTATATTCAAATAGAAGTAAATGTGAATATCATGATGTCGAGTATTTAGCTTGAACTCTAATTTGTTAGACGGTTAGCTAAGATACTTTCTTTTGATTGTTTAGTCTCACACTAGATCCGGACCAGACCAAACTTAGACAGCTATAAATGCACAAAGATAAAACATTTAACATACCAGAAAATTTCAGTCCAAAATTAAAGAAAACATCCTTAGTAATTTATGTGATAAATTAATCTAGTTATAAGTTAACGATATAATTTATTTATATATGAAGGACATTTAAATTTTGTAACTTTTTTATCACGTACAGAATACAGATTGAAAGAACAACTATAACTTGATTGACATAAAACAACATAATTGATGGGAAAAATAGCCACAAACGGAACTAATAAAATGCGGAATTAATCTCCGTTTGGCTAAACTTTCCCCAACTTGAATGAACCTTTGAGGATGCAAACAAATAGGGTGTTCTTAATACAATTAGAACACACAATATTGCTGCCACACACCAATATAATGAGCTAAAACAGTAAGCACACACCACACAAAAACACCGGAATTTTAGCGTGGAAAACCCGTTAACTAGGGAAAAACCACGGGACCATTTTGGCCGCTTAAATCCACTATCATCATCAAAGGAGCAGTACAAAGTCTTCTCTAGATAATACTAGAGGCATACAAAGTCATCATATCCTTGGAAGTAAGCACATCAAGGTGTATGGAATCAAAATAGAGCCAAGATAAGAAATATATCACCAGAAAAATAGCTACTGTCCAGAGCAACGAAACCCGACCTCCGGACCTCAAAACCCGATCTCCACCGTCCAGAATGTTGGCTCAGATTCTGTGAAGCTGCTGTCCAAAAATCACGACGATCCAACGGTTCAATCTTCGGGAAACGGAAGTTTTCTGCTGCTGCCTGCTGGAAAAAACGGGATGAGCACACTCAGCTCATGTTTACGACTTATGCTCTCTTTTCTGCTGCTCTCTTTCTGTCCTCATGTGTTGAGATAGTAGCTAACCCATATTTTATTATTAGCTCCCAAAAAAGAAAGTCAAAGAAGACTTTTAATGGGCTCAAAACTTGGGCTTTCCTCATGGGTCAAAAACAAAGAAAAACCCAACAAATCTCCCCCTTTTTGACTTCTGAGGAAGAGTTCGCCATACCGGCGATGGAGCAACATACCTTCAACTTTTCCCTTGCTAGAACCTTCGTCAACATATCGGCACCATTATCATCGGTATGAACTTTATCAAGTTCAAACAGTTTGTCTTCAAGTGCATCTCTAATCCAATGATACCTCACATCAATATGTTTGGTTCGTTTGTGAAACATAGAATTTTTAGCAAGGTGAATGGTACTTTGATTATCACAAAGAACCACATAACGTTGTTGCATAAAGCCAATCTCTTGCATAAATCTTTTGAGCCACAATAGCTCCTTGCATGCTTCTGTTGCAGCCACATACTCAGCCTCGGTGGTGGATAAAACCACACACTTTTGCAGTCTCGATTGTCATGACACAGCTCCACCTGCAAAAGTCATCAAATATCCAGAAGTGGATTTCATGTTGTCCTTATTTCCTGCCATATCAGAATCAGTATAACCAACAAGTATTGGCTTCCCATTTCCAAATGTTATACCCAATTTGGAAGTACCACGTAGATATCTGAGAATCCACTTCACTGCTTCCCAATGCTTCTTACCTGGATTTGACAGAAAACGACTAACAACACCTACTGCATGGGCAATATCAGGTCGTGTGCACACCATAGCATACATCAAGCTCCCTACAGCTGAGGCATAAGGAACTTTATCCATCTCTTCAATCTTTTTCTCAGAAGATGGACAATCTTTATCTGTCAACCTGAAGTTGGTAGTAAGAGGTGAACTAACCTCTTTAGCTTTGTCCATGTTGAATCTGCGAAGCACCTTCTCAATGTATTGCTCCTGTGACATGTGTAGCTTCTTCAAAGCTCTATCTCGAGTGATCCGAATGCCAAGAATCTGTTTTGCTGGCCCCAAGTCTTTCATAGCAAAAGACTTGCTCAATTGCATCTTCAGCTGAGTAATTCTTTCTGCATTCTTGCCAACAATTAACATGTCATCAACATATAACAATAAAATGATGAAATCATCATCACCAAACCTCTGGAAGAAAACACAATGGTCTGAAGTAGTCTTTCGGTAATTTTGCTCCCCCATAACTGACTCAAACTTCTTGTACCACTGTCTTGGTGCTTGCTTCAACCCATAAAGACTCTTTTGAAGTCTACACACATAACCTTCTTTTCCCTTAACCTGAAACCCTTCAGGTTGCTCCATGTAGATTTCTTTATCCAAGTCACCATGAAGAAAAGCTGTTTTGACATCCATCTGTTCAACCTCGAGATCAAGGCTGGCTGCCAAACCCAGAACAACACGAATAGATCCCATCTTCACGACCGGAGAGAAAATCTCATCAAAATCAATACCCTTTCTCTGACTGAACCCTTTGACCACCAATCTAGCCTTGTACCTAGGCTGTGAGGTGTGCTCTTCAGTCTTCACTTTGTAGACCCACTTGTTCTTCAAAGCTCTCTTACCTTTAGGCAACTTCACCAACTCAAATGTATTATTCTCATGTAAGGAATTCATCTCATCTTGCATGGCTTCAACCCACTCCCTTTTGTGCTCATCTTCCATGGCCTCTGCATAACACTCAGGCTCTCCCCCATCAGTGAGTAAGACATACTCATTAGCTGAAAAACGGGTGGAAGGATGACGATCTCTTGTAGACCGCCTAAGTGGGACAAATGGTGGCACGTCTGGTACTGGTATCTCTGAATGAAATTCTTCATCCACCTCTGGCTGTTCTGGAGCATCAGTATCATGTTGTTCATCATTCTGAACATCATTATCAAGAGGTGGTTCTACATGCTGAGGAGGCACTGGATCCAAATCAGTAACATCATCATTATGTTGAGGAACTGTATCTTTCTTCTCAGCATCTTTCAAGGTCTGATCTTCCACAAACACAACATCTCGGCATCGAATAAGTTTCTTATGGACTGGATCATATAATCTGTAACCAAACTCATCTTGGCCATAACCCAAGAAAACACATGGTTTGGACTTCACATCAAGCTTTGCTCTTTCATCTTTAGGAATGTGCACAAAAGCTTTGCATCCAAAAACCCTCAAATGGCGATAAGAAACATCTTTGCCACTCCAAACCCTGTCAGGTACATCAAAAGACAAAGGAACACAAGGAGTTAGATTAATAACATGTACCGCTGTATTCAAAGCTTCTCCCCAGAATGTATTTGGCAGCCCTGCATGTGACAACAAACATCTGACACGCTCCATCAAAGTTCTGTTCATCCGCTCTGCTAATCCGTTCAGCTGCGGTGTCTTGGGAGGACTCTTTTGATGTCGAATACCATGGTCTCTACAATAAGCATCAAAGGGGCCAATGTATTCCCCTCCATTATCTGTCCGAATACACTTGAGCTTCTTTCCAGTCTGTCTCTCAACCGAGGCATGAAACTGCTTAAACACCTCAAATACTTGATCTTTAGATTTCAAGGTATAAACCCATACCTTTCTGGAGTGATCATCAATGAATGTGACAAAGTAGGAGCAACCACTAAGTGTCCTAGTTTTCATAGGACCACAAACATCAGAATGCACCAAATCAAGTATACTCTCCTTCCTGGAAGGAGGATGGCTCTTAAAGGAAACCCTGTTCTGTTTACCTGCCAAACAGTGAGAACACTTCTTTAGATGAATATCATGCACACCCGGTAACACATTTCTCTTCAACAAAAGAGACATCCCCTTTTCACTCATGTGACCAAGTCTCTTATGCCATAAATCAGTCATGTCAGTGTTCACCACAGCATTGACCCTATCCTTGAAGATCTTCGGATGTGTCATGTACAACTTTGAGCATCTTTTACCTCTAGCCACGATCAAAGAACCACGAGTGAGTTTCCATATTCCATTACCAAAGTTGTTGCTGTAACCATCATCATCAAGTAAGCCTGCGGAGATCAAATTAAGTCTCATATCTGGAACATGTTTTACATTATGTAAAACCAACTCTATCCCAGTGTCAAACTTCAAACAAATATCTCTGATGCCTGCAATCTTTGATAGTCCATTATTACCCATCCTAACATTACCAAAGTTACCTGGAGTGTAAGATGAATAAAAATCCCTCTGTGATGTTACATGACACGTAGCACCACTATCAACAACCCAACTGGAATCATCATGTGCAATGTTGACCATATCAAGATCAGAACAAATCAGGAACTCATCGGTAGCACTGTTAACTTCAGCATTGCCATTACCACCCTCATCTTTCTTATGGTTCTTTTGATTGTTGTAATCGCTCTTCTTCTTCTTCTTCTCCTTTTTCAATTGCCTGCAGAATCGTATTGTGTGCCCTTTTCTACCACAATGATAGCACTCAAAATCAGCAAACTTTCCTTTGGATTTACTTCGATGCTTCCCTTTGTTACCTGGACCTCTACTCTGACTTCTCCCCCTGCTTTCTGTAACTAAGACATCAGAATGTGAAGAGGAACCTTGTGACTTTCTTCTCATCTCTTCATTTAAAACACTGCCTTTAGCTAATTCCATGGTGATAATACCATCTGGTGCAGAGTTGGACAATGATGTCCTAAAAGTCTCCCATGAGTCCGGTAAAGTGCCAAGGAGCCACAAGCCTTGTATCTCATCTTCAAACTTGATACCCATTCCTGCAAGTTGATTTATGATTCCCTGAAAAGAATTCAAATGATCAGTGACAGGAGTTCC